TTTTGCTATTAAATCATGTTATTTTATCGATTCTTCGATCAGGCTCGAGTTTATTATGTTATCTAAAAGCTGTATAAATTTCATTAAAATATACTGAGCGGTATTCGAGTTACAGTTGTCACCATTTCAAAAAACATAGTTTTGAGAAAAACGCATTTAAGCGCTAGCTACCTGTTCCCGAGCGCTTTGAAGTGCCCAAGCGCTCTTTGTTATTTATCGAATAACTCAAAAAATAATTATCGGATTTTCAGAGAATATTTTCAAGATATTAAACATAACAAAAATGCAAAAAAAATAGATTTTTTGAAAATTCTGAGTATCCCTAACCCCATCATCAAATAATTGTCATAAGGACCAACTCCGAAAAAATATTTATCTCAGAAAACTACACGTCTAAAAAATACACCCTTTACATTAAACTTATTAGGCAGGCAAGCCACAGATGCCCTTCTCTACTGCGATTATGGTTTGATCTCTTAATTTACGGCTTAGTTATGGCGTTTTAAAGTTTTTCGATTAATGGCATTTTATGGGCAGGACAGTACTCCGATTCCGTCCATCTACTGCACCGACTTTTTTATAGTGCCAAAGAAGGAAAGTTTCATCAAGATATCTTTAGTTTTATTCAAGTAAAAGCTTGTACGGATGGACCGGCGGGCGGACAGACGGACATAAAGTAATCTGGAATTCAACGCGTTTCGTCATTCTGATTATTTATATTATATACAAACATATATAACTCTATAACTATCTTGTTTAGGTTTAGGTGTTACGAACAACCTTTATGTGAACAAAGCACTTGCTCACGTGCGTTTTTAACAAATGTTCGGATTAAATACACATGCACATTATGAACTTAAATAAAACATCTTTTTTGCTTCAACGATAAGAAGAAATTAGAAATGTTTATTATTCGTAAAATAATAAAAGTAAAACAAGCACTAATTGCAATGTGAAGTAGCCAAATTTATATCATTTTCTGTGAAGTGCAACAAATCGAAATTTAGTTTTGTAATAAGTACATTATTAACGGTAGTATCGTTTACTTTTGAACCATGTTTACTTAAAATTAGTGATAAAGCGCTTAATGCCCACTGAAACCGGGGTTGCTGGAACAGCTAAAACGACTTCAGCAAGTTTTCTGAGCTCATTATCTAGGGAGTATGTCTTCCAGTAGCACAATATATCTGTGTCTAAAGACAGCTTTCTTCCACTCGCAAATGCCTTTGACCTATGGCGTAAATTTGGAACTACTTCCAATTCACGTGTCGTCTGCATCAGCTCTTCACAAATATGTTTTATGCTTTCTAAACGGGCAGTGGCTTGATGTAGAAGGCAAACGATCAGTATGCTGTAGATTCCGATTTTGAGGACTGAACGGCATGTGATCATGCAGCCGCAGCATATTTTCATAAGTTTTTATTAGATGATTTTAAATAAGTAAAATTGTGTTAGTAAAAATTTAAAAAAATGTAACTTTTATACCTCGGCATTTAATTTCTCTTGTGCAGTCAACATAATAGAGCCTGAAAATTAAAGCGCGGATCTAAATATAATGCCGTAATAAATGCATTATTGTCCATTAGTTGTTGTTTCCGGGTTTTCATGGCATCAAGTAGTTGTGCAGCGTATGAGACTGTAGTATCAAGATCACTTCACTCCAATTGACACGACAACCAATCTCTTTAAAAATCTCAAAAAATATATTGTTCGCTTTGCATGCACAGATGCCAGAGGTTGGAAAGCTTTAATGAAATTCGACACAAAATCCTAGTGAAGATCTTCTATGTCAGTGCATTGCTGTTCTACAAATTCTTAGATTTTTGAAGGGAAGTAACCATGACATATGTTGAGTTCCAACGCGTAATTTCGTCTAGTACAGGCATTTGGGTATTGCTACATTCCGCACGAATTAGTGTACGAACTCGCTTTATTAGCGTTCTACATTCCTCCTATGAAGGACCAAGTGTTTTCAGGACGTCATCAGCAGCAAGCTGTAGCATATGAGCTACGCATATTACTATGGAAAATACGAACTCAATTATTCTTTGTAATACTTCTTCTTCATCTACAGCAGTATCCGACTCTTGCAAGATTCTAGCTTCCAGCACATCCTGCAGTATTTTGCTGGCCTTGACAATATTGGCTTCCTTGTCGATAGTGTTGGAGTATAACTGCTCTAGCTCCATACCGTAGGTGTCCAAGCAGTTTACTAATTGTTCTCTAACATATATAATCACTATAGCATATAGCTGCCATATAAACTGGACAATCGGAATAAAGTACTTGTATGGAAAACTTTTTCATTTGACGATGTATCTTCACGAAATTTGGCATGAGTTATTTTCTAAGGCAACAATGTAATCTCCGAAGAAATTATTCAGATAGGATTACTATATCATATAGCTGCCTTGCAAATTGAACGATCGAAATCAAGTTTTTGTAAGAAGCCTTTGTATTGGTGAAGGTGCAACCGAAGTCAACGTTTTTTCTTGTTTTAAGTTTATAATGTGTACGTGCATGTGTTCTAAAACTTTTTTTGCACGCGCAGGCGCATATGCTCTATACCGAAATGCACATACAGGAGCAAGTGTTTTTATGACAAATTTTTAAGACTCATATCTAGATACATACATACGTAATAATGTTGAAACATATCGGGAAGCACACACATAAATTTTGAGCTCGTGAAATCAGATTTAAAAGCATTCACATGTCTATAAACAATATGTGCATTGATGTGCTGTCAAGGATGACATTATACGAAACTCTTTGATTCGAGAGAAAGCAGTCAAAACCCACATTTTTTATAACATTTGTCAATCATGCCACTGTTGAGAGAAAATAGATTGCGTATTATAACAATAATTTTTGGGAATTTTGCATTTCGATATTATTTTAAGGTTCTGGGTTTCCGAGTACACCTATATCACGCATATACATACGTACAGCCCCAAATACGTGTATTCAAATAGTTTGAATTTAAAAAAAGAATAGCAAACAAACTTTAGTTGCACGTTATTCGAAAGTATTTGTGTCGTTCCTTGAAATTTCGTTTTTGTAATCAGTTGTATGGGATATATGTTGCCCGATCAGGCCGATTCTGACAAATATATTAAATTTCGCTTAGATACGAAAAATAAATTTCACCTAAAAAATCGCGAAATCGGTTTTAGACCCATATTCTCTTAGGCAAAGTTGTTAAGAATGATCCGTAGTACATCTCCCGCATATTTGAGTCCCTATAAATCAACTCGCTCTAATGTGTATGTATTTCTTATCGATGAGTAATTTTTCTTTTTCAGAAATTAAGCAATTTGGTTTGCAATCAGTGGTTGAATATTTATGTCATTTTCCATGGAAAAAATTGTGCATATTTTTATATATGATTACTTAGACACACTTATACATGTGCACACATACATATGTATATATGTTTTAAAATGTTTTTGTCTCAATGATTTTCCATTTCTTTCACTTATTTACGAATGTATGTATAGTCGTGTACAATAGCTATTAATACGTATTTTGTTAAATTTATTTTTATAAAAATGCGAAATACACCCACTCATTGACGAGCTCGTTTTGTCATTTATTAATTTCTTGAATGTTATTAATATTCTTAAGGGGCACACTTAATGTGATATTTGAAAAATGTTTTGTATATTTCGATAGTTTATATTTTTAAAAATAACATACTCAAATTGTCAATTAATATTTCAAATATTTTTTGAGTTATCGCCTTGCTGCTCAGCTCGATCAGTTTATTTTTAAATGCGTTTATTCTAAACCACATGTTTCAAATTGGCTGCAGTTCTAACTTAAATCCAATTCATCCGATCGCTTTGATTTTTCTGCTTATTTTGTATATAATTCTCTATATAGTGGACCCTTCAGTTTTTTAAATTTAAATTTTTATTAACAATCACTTATTGCATATTCAATACCTTACAGATTAATAGCTTTTTCCAATTTTTTGCCATTAACCACAATGAAAGCCGCAAACACTGCAGCAGTGGAGAACCTGTTCTTTTTAAGTAACTTGGAAAATAGCGAATAGCTCAGTAAAAATTTAACTTTTTTGAGTATGGGCGAGTATATTCATTAACTACATTAACTACATATACATATATAAATATATCCTCAAAATTTTAAAACATTTCATGCAGCAGTTTTCTTAAAAAAAAAAAATAAACTTTTTTTAGCTAGTCACTCTAGGTGTACTCCTTAAATGATGGGGGTGTGGGGTGTTTTTACTTTTCTAAGTTTAGAAGTTTGTAAATATTGCTCCATGTACATAAGTACCATCGGGTAAAATTTGACCCGGACTGGTCCATTTAAACTGTGCGCGAAACCTAATCATGGATTCAGAAAATTTGAATTTGTTGCAGAAGTATTTTGGGGAGTCTACTCTATTACGAACACAAAGATTTGAGTGGCACGAAGCATTCAGTGAAGGTCATAAACTTACAAACTTAGAGAAACAGTGCTTGAAAATCGTGGTGTTTGTATCAGAGAGATAGCAGAGGATCTCAATATCTTTTATGGCTCGACTTAACACATTTTGGTTAATGTTTTAGGTATGAAACGTGTTAAATGTTCATTAGTATTAGTATTGAATCATGGGTTTCAGGTATTTGTTCATAGTATATTCAGCGTTCTATTGTCGTCCCAATTGACGATATAATTTTTGACATATTGTCATAACTCCGCACAGTGAAATTGATAATTCTTGTTATCTTTTCACAAGATCTGTTCGAAGGTTTAAAACTAAACACTTCCGTAGGTTCTCAGTGCTGAAGTAAAAATGTTAAAATAAATTATCTAATCGATGTTGAGTGTTCTAAGAATCACTTTTAATTACAAATGTTTTGCTTCCGCGATAAGCAGCACTTCTCGAACAGCTGATTGTAAATCATTCAGTGTATTTTAGGTATAAGCAAACAAATCAAATTTATTTATACTTTGTTTATACAATTTTTATTGTTTTTTGTTTGCAGATTTACGTGCTAACAGTGCTTTTGATGCCGATTCGCGTATTCGGCTGTCTTCTCTCACTTCTATCCGCATGGATGTTTGCCTGCATCGGCTTGTACGGTTTAACACTCGACGATTTAAAGGCGAGACCCATAACCGGCTGGCGAAGGTAAATATTTCGAAAACACTAAATTACAAATGTATTTTTAAAGTTTTCACCGATTTGCCACATTTCAGACAATTTCAACGCATAACCTCCGGCGCCATGCGTACGCTCTTCGCTGCCGGAACATTTCATCATGTCAAATTGACTGGCGAACGTGCGTCACCGAAGCAAGCACCCATCATGGTGGTGGCGCCGCACTCATCGTATGTTGATTCGATCATTGTGGTAACAACTGGTCCACCATCGATTGTGGCGAAGCGTGAAACCTCTGATATACCTCTGTTGGGCAGTAAGTACATCTCACCATTAAAATGTGTCGTATTTTTCTTGACGAAATATATATACATATATACTAATTTGTACATCCCTAAGAAATCATTAATTTCGCCCAACCCATTTATGTGCAACGCGAGGATCCCAATTCTCGACAGAATACGATACGTGAGATTGTAGAGCGTGCACGCTCTGAAGAGGAGTGGCCACAAGTAGTTATCTTTTCTGAGGGCACGTGTACCAATCGCAAGGCATTGATTAAATTTAAGCCTGGTGCATTCTATCCAGGCGTACCTATACAACCAGTATTGCTCAAGTATCCTAACAAATATGATTCATTCACGTGGACTTGGGACGGTCCAGGCGTGTAAGTTGACTCTTAAATATTTTATTTATTTTAAAGTTCGGTTTTTATTATATTTGTCTCCTGAACAGGGTGTATATATATAAATGATCAGCGTGACGACCTGAGTCTATTTAGCCATATCCGTCTGTCTGTATATACGCTAAACAGTCCCTCTGTTTTTGAGATATCAATCTGAAAATTTGCAGAAGTCCTTTCCTCCCCGAAAAGCTGCTCACTTGTCGGAACCGCCGGTATCGGAGCACTATAGCATACAAGTATAGCTGCCATACAAACTTACCGATCAAAATCAAGCTCTTGTGCGGATAGATTTTTGAATTGGAATTGAAGGCTACACTCCAACCTCCGAAGAAATTGGTCACCTCAGATAACTCTAGCATATAGCTGAGATAAACATTTTATTTAAAGAAATATCTTCACGAAATTTGGCATGAATTACAGATCAGACCATATAGCACACAGACGTCATGCAAACTAACCGATCAAAATCAAGTTCTCGTAAGCAAAGCGAACTTAACTTTTTCTCTTGTTATATTTGGTTATTGTTTTTACCTTCGACTTCGCTCCGCAATCCTTCAGGCTAACTAGGCATTAACATAATGTCTTAATTAACTATAGACTTCTTTGGTCGGAAATATTTAAAGAATATTATGTTTTTGTGAGAATATATAGCCCGAATTGTTTTTACCAAATCTAACAAGAAACACGAAGAGTTCATGAAGGTGGTATTTCTTGATATGTCGAACCACCGAGTTTATTTCTAAGGCTTAAAAGCTCTTCATAAAAAAAAAACACCCACTCTAAACGGCGTTTAAAGTTACAGGATCCTCCATTTGATAAGTAATTAGTTTACATTTTACCTTTTTATTTTATTTTCTATTGATTTCGTTCGTTGATTTCGTTTCTCAATTGATTTCGTTACTATTTAGTCTGAAACTACTTTGGATGACAATGTCGCAATTCTATAGTCGTTGTGAAATCGAATTTTTACCGGTGTACACACCGTCTGAGGAGGAAAAGGCTGATGCGAATTTATATGCGAATAATGTGCGAGATGTTATGGCTAAGTAAGTGCGAGATACGACTTAACAGTTATATGTTTATTTTAGCACATTTTGAATTTTCAATAATTGAATTCTTCTTTTCATCTTTCATCCTACCGAAAGAGCGCTTGGTGTGCCTACGTCAGAATACTCTTTCGAAGATGTGATTACAATGAGTCGTGCCAAAGATATGCGTGTGCCCTTCCCTGGCGATATTATTGAAATTGAACGGGTGCTTTACAATTTGGGGTAAGTTTAAGGAGATGCATGCCAAATTATATTCTTTGTCGTTTTTCAATAGGAATGAAAAAAAACTGTATATCACATAATGATCACTCTTATTTCTGAGCAAAATATCAAATAAGCTTAATTCGAATTAAGCTACAGTAGTTACGATCCCACGTAAAAATAGTATCCTATATTTCTTTTATTGAATTTGGAAGTTCGGATTCTAAATTTTTAATTTAATCCTTCATTTTACATTTAAATATATATAATATATTAACATTTTTTTTTACCAATCGCTAATTTTGCTTTATCCTAATTTCCATTTTTACAGTTTACTCCCAGATTCCGTGCGTGATCAAGAATTAGTTGCGGATTTTCTTAGCATAAACAATACTGACCGTTTAGACATATTTACCTTTGCTGAACTACTGCGGATCGATCCCAAAAATTCGCAACTTCTCCAGCTTTTTGCTTTACTAGATCATGTAAGATTTGTAAATATCTTCTTTGTATATATCTTGAATTATTCGCTGTTTTTCTTTTGCAGCATCACAAGTACACAATCAATTTGAAGAGTTTTCTTTTATGCTCACAGTTTTGTAAACTAAAGAATGAAGAGATTATCGTGTTTCTGCGTGCCATAGCTAATGTAAGTAAAAAGCCTTTTATTTTGTTTTATTTAACCTCTATTGACACATTATTTCTACATTTGTACGAGTATGTTCATTTATTTGTCGGTAGTTTTTTCGTATTGATTTTAAAGACGCTCCTAAAAATTGTTACCCATATTTGGTGTGTACAGTTTTTAATTTTTGTAGAACAGTTTGAAGAGAACAACTCGATTTTTAGCGAAAAAATCGCCTAACTTTTTATTGTAAAATGAATTTTCTAACAAAACTATAACTAACTCTCCGACATCTAGCGCTTACCATATATTCTCCATTATAATATTTACTTCCAAAAGCATTAAATTATCAACTTTTTATTAAAAATTTTCAGTAAAAATACATTTTATTATTTCAAGTCATATATTGTTCCACCTATACTACAGAATCTTGTGTATATTTGTTAGGTGAAAGAGATTAATGGAATTCTTTATCTCTGAGATACTTTAAATTACAAATGTATAATTTCACCAAGAATACATACATTTATTCTGATTTACCGTTTTTGCGATAATTATGCTAATTGTTATGAAAGCCTTATTAAAAATTGATACCTAAATTCTAGTCGTTCTGCCGATATACACACCGCAGGTAAAATATTCAAAACCTATCTTCATGGAAGCACAATGAAAGTGATTAAGTTGTGTCTTTGTTAATCATGCTACCTGTGTTTTTAACCTCTAAAAATACCAGTAAAAATCCTAATATTTTTGTATAAAAAGGAATAAACTTTTAAAAGTTAGCATAGTTGGGTTCAGAAATTTCACAGCATAAGTTCTCATCGAGAACCACTCCGTTCTTATTTTTTCGCAATTTTATTAAAATTTTATTTATCCTAAACATGGGTGTAATGCTATCTAGAAGACGCGATTCGTATATTCAAAGATCACCAGATGAATATCGTAAAACATATATTGAAAAACCGCTGGAACGTGGTACCACTTTTAACGACAAACCGACTCGTGCCCGTTTAAGTGTCCGCTCTGTCAAGTCACGGCAGAAACGTCAAAAGCGCGATTCTACCTCTTCTCTATCGAATCCACGTACTATTTTACCGATAAAAGAGGAGAATATCGCTTCACAGAATATGACAGATGCCGCGACCGATCAACATACTCCCAAAGGCTTCCCATTCTACACTGAGTTGAACATTTAAAAATTTGATTAAACATGTCATAAGACAGGTGTAAAATACTCGTAACTTTGTAAATGTTTGGTCCAATTCTTGAAATACAATACTATTATGTATTCAATTAAAAATAAAATAATAAAATTTAAAAACCCTAACCCCCTCTTAAACTAATTTTCCATACACTTGTTATAAGCCTAGATCAGGATGGCCTTCAATGCCATCAGCGGGTTTTCCTTTTTTTATACTCTCGCAACCTGTTGCTACAGAGTATAATAGTTTTGTTCACCTAACGGTTGTTTGTATCACCTAAAACTAATCGAGTTAGATATAGGGTTTTGTATATATAAATGATCAGGATGAAGAGACGAGTTGAAATCCGGGTGACTGTCTGTCCGTCCGTCCGTCTGTCCGTCCGTTCAAGCTCTAACTTGAGTAAAAATTGAGATATCTTTATGAAACTTGGTAGACATGTTTCTTGCTACCGTGAGACGGTTGGTATTGCAGATGGGCGTAATCGGACCACTGCCACGCCCACAAAACGCCATTAATCAAAAACAAATAACTTGCCATAACTAAGCTCCGCAATAAGATACAAGACTGTTATTTGGTACACAGGATCACATTAGGGAGGGGCATCTGCAGTTAAGAATTTTTTTTTTAAAGTGGGCGTGGTCCTACCTCTAATAGGTTTAATGTGCATATCTCTTAAACCGCTAATGCATCGATGCATAGGAGATGTTGCGATCCTCTACTATTTTTAACAGTTCTACTTCTTAAATTCTAACTCTAATTTATTAAAATTAAAACACGCTTAATTTTCATACCTTGTAAAACTAATTTTAATCGTATAACGTTAGAATGGATTAGTCAAGACTTTTACCTCTTCATTCGATTGCTCCGATTTCATCAGAAATATGATTATATTTAAGTTTTGAATGTTTGTATCATGTTTAAGCATAACTTGAGATTAGATTGGTGTAACTTCGAATTATGAATATAAATAATATGGCTCCGTTGCCTTAAAATGTTTATAACTACCCCACGTGGGGTGTAATACTATTTGAAACACTTAACTCATGTTCACCACATTTATATGCACCATGCGCTTATTGATCGACTACGCGATAAGTCTCCTACAAAAAACATTTCTCATTACTAACTCATTTGCTTTATCTGAAGTTATAAAATATTTTGGATGTTAGCCCGCTGTGTTTGATGCATAATATTAATTTATACCCTCCCAGCTCTACGCGGAGTCAACACAACGTATTACACGTCAAAACTTCGCACGCATACTGAGGCATACAGGTAAAATGACGCCGGAAAAGTGCGATGCATTATTCTTTGCCATCGATAGCACGAATAAAGGCTGCATTTCATTTGGTGAGTATGCTTAGTTTTACCATTATTATTATTTATTAATCATATATATATTATTTTTCATGTAAAAGATGAGTTTGAGCGCTATACCAAGGATCATCCGCAGTACAAATTCCTTTATAAGAAGCAGGAGCACTTGAGGCGGACACAAGCGGGCGGTAATGTAAAAAAGCAAATTTAGAAAAAGTGAAAAATTATTATACAAAAGAAAGAAAAAGAAACACGCTTGTGTGTGGATGTGTATGTATGTCTGCTGTCATGAGTACTGCAATTTCAAATTATAATGGATTTAATTATTAAAACCAAAAACAACAGACGTATGTCAATTCAAAGCAAGAATTGTATTATTTTCATAAATATTATTTCAAAAATCCCCTTAAAACGTCTGTTTAACAAAGTTAAAAGTAAAACATTTTCTATAATTGTAAAAAAAAAACGTTTAATTTGAGCAAATAAGAAGCAAAAAATGCAAATTTGATATTAAATATAAAACACAAGTGTATTTTTTAACAAACCAAAGCTTAGAGTGAAAACATCGTTTCCAGAAAAACGCGTTTAAAAATTTTAGTGACATTATGTTAAAAAAATTTACAAATACGCTCATATCTCTGAACATATTTGCCGGACTAAACAAACATTTTCAGAGTATATTTTGAAACATTTACATTCGTCATATAAAAATCGATTTCTTGAAATTCATAAGTGGATATAGCCCCTTTGACTAGAGTGTACTTGTGGTAAGAATATTTATGTCACACATAAAACGTGTGTTGGCAGACATATGCGATTTATTTAACTAAAATTTAAGTAAAAATGTCATCCTTACTTAGCTCAATGTGCGCTGCAGTCATTTAATTTATATTTACCGTAAATAGAGGCAAACCGTTTTGATTTGTGAAATTTATATTCTCAGTAGCTATATTAATTAAAATTAAAATCAGCGTTTATGATTGAAAGTTAAATTTGTAATAACATTGAAAAAATAATGCATATTAGTTCAATATTGACTATGTTTACATTTAATGCCAATATAATTATACAAATAGAATTATATGACTTTTAGTAATGTAGGCGTAATGTGTAGTTGGCCAAATTTATTATGTATTATACAATAATATCTATGTATATTATACACGTATGTGAAGTATATTATTTATGAATTAAATATATATATAAATATATATATATATGGAAATACCTGACGTATACATTCAAGCACTTAAGAATACTAATAGTTTTAGAAACCTATACAAAACTTATGTCTTACGTATAGTGTATGTATGTACAAGTATGTAAAAACTGCACATCGCCTGCACGTTATTAAGTTTACGTTTACGTTTACGTTTTCGTTTACGAATTGCTGATCTCTCCTTAATGCATTCGAGCAGTTGCAAACAGAGCATATAGTGTTATTATAAGTTACAACTTAAAATAACATAGGTTTTGCCCTTTTTATTGTTCCTCGCCTTTGATTTAAGCATCCAAACTTTGGACCAGCAAGCGTACTTATGTTAAACTCAATAATTTTCGCGAGTTAATTTTCATATTAAATACAGTTTTTGTTGCAACTCCTTTAAGTTTTTACTAATTTTCAATTATTTTTTAGTAATTAGTCTCAAGTTAGTAAGAAATTTTTTGCCAATTCTTTCTGTTTTGTTTTTCTTTTTGAACACTTGACCATATTGAAATTTGTACAATTACTGTAATTACTACAAGTATTGTGTTCAATATTAAATACACACATACTTATGGATTTCTGTATTTATAAGTACATACATACTCATTGCATTGCTTTATTGAATTTTCGAATTATAAGTATGATATTTATTGAAAATAATTTACTGATATTATAGTTATAGTGTGAATTGTAAAAATGTGAAAATACAAAATAAATGAGCGAAAGAAATATGAAAATGAAATATATACGTTTTGTTTTTTCAAAATAAACACATTGCTAGATAAAATACAAACTTTAAAAATTACACCAAAAATTATATGTCCAAAAAGGCTATACTTGTCATATAGCGATAATCCTTATCTTTCAAAGAATACCGTATTTGTCGATTTGGTTCCCAATGAGAGCAGAAAAATGATATTAATACAAATACTATTTTCAGAAAATTATTGGAAGAATATTAACCGTCACACCTAGTGTGACAGTCTAAAAAATGAGGATTTTTGTGAATTAGAAAAAAAACTACTGTATCAATTGTTTTAAAATTGAAATGTTATACAAGTATTTATACACCTTAAGAATTCACTGTACAATTTTTGAAGAAAAAAAAATTAAAATATTTTTCGAGTTATACACGAGCTTCGACGGGTCCTCCCCTGATGCATTGATCTCGACCTTCTCCGTGGATGACACTAAAAGAAAAACTCTACAAGAAGATATTGTCTATACAATTACCTACGGTCGAACAAAATAATCTAAAATTGATAAAATGGTGGCGTTTAAAAAAGTTGGAATTTTAAATGCCGTTAGGTGAAAACCTATAAAGTGACTAAGCGCTACAATAAGATACAAGACTGTCATTTGGTAAGACGAATCTCATTATAGAGGGGCATTTGTGGTTTGAAAACTTGAAAAAAGTGGGCGAGGTTCCGCCCTTTAATAGTTTTAATGTACATATGTATGTCTCTGCCGAACGACTAAAGCCAAATCGACTAAATTTGCTTTAATTGAAATCGGATTATAACCCCGTTTACTCCCCATATAACGGCTGTGTTAAAACTACTATAAGTGCGACAAATCAATAAATAAATGCCTCAGAGACATTAAAATTTACACCCGAGATGATATGAGAGGACGTAATAGGAGCCGTTGTTAAAATTAGACAATATGCGTGGTACCGACCACTTTCAGGTGAAATCACAAATATCATAATATCCTAACATTCTAATATTACTGCGTGAAAATGAGCTCAATCAAATCACAGCCACGCCTACTTCCCATATAACACAATTTTAAATTCCATCTTATTCTTTCACTTTCCGGTATAAAAATCATGCACCAATGAAGTTATTGGGATACAACTTTGCATAAATAATGCTTTTAAGATATGACATATCAAGTCTAAAAATGGTCAAAATCGGACCATAACTGTTCAGGCACCCACATACCGAATATGGGGAGCCGAGTGTGAATTGCGATTATTAAAATAATGTTATCCCATATTAATATTCGCGTTTTTCTTAACGTTAATATTTTTAATACAAAACTCTGAAGTATTATATAATGAAACGATGAGTTATTTAAGGGGTTACATGGGTTTCGTCGTAAAAAAAGGTCTATTTTCAATAATTTTTTTTTCTATATAAAATAATTTATTTAATTTAAACTTTTTTCTGTCTTAAAGATACACGTTTAAAGCATAATTTCTGAGATTTTCAAAAAAAAAACAGTTAAAACCGCCATTGTAACGTCATTTCCGGTGACCCCTCGAAAAAAAGGTGCGTCCGCGTTGTCAGCATAACTCCTGACAGGATCATCTTAAATTAAAAAAATTATATGTTTTAGTTAAGAGCAGTTTCGATAAAACTTTTCAAAGCTGTATCTCTAAAACTATTACTCGGATCAACTTCAGAATTTAGGACAATATTAAACTGATTGCAACAGGTTACAATTTGTATGTTTTATTAACGTGATTTAGTTAGCAAGTAAAACTCTTTCACTTCGAAAATTAATTTCTTGTCATACTTAAACTATATCTGTTAGATTACCTTAACTGTTTGCTATACGAACTCGTGCATTTTATCTGTTTTGAGCGAGATTTTGTACACATTACCTCTGACTTGAATGATCTTTTCTCCATTGACTTATGGTATATATAAGAGTAGAGGGAAACATCACATCAAAGCATTTACTGAAATTTTGGTAAATTAAGCTTGAGTAAGGTGAGAGCCTTACTCTTCTGAGCATGAGTAAGATGTTGAATGCTTCTATTTTGTTTCTAATTGTAATACAACAATTTTCAGACACAATTTCATCTCCTTCTTCGATGACCTTAATATAGGTTGATAACGACTGACATGAGTAAAATTTTCTACAATCTTAAGATTCTCATTTTCACAAATTTTCATGGAGATAAAACTTGTTAATAAATAACAATAATTTTTAAAACGAGATCGTTCTCTGTTCGGGTTCGAATGACTTTATAAATGCGTTAGGCAAAAAATTTAATATTTTGATGGGATATGACTAAACTCTACATGTCAAAGAAAGTCACTGACTTACTGAACTGCCCTGCTATTCGAGAAATTATCAAATTTCGTTTACATAGAGTGGAAAAAGGGGGCACGATGTAAAAAGTATGATTATTTAGGAAGCTTGCTTTTTACTACATTTTACTTATACCCTGTTCAATGGAATCAGATATTGATAAAAGACCATGTAACCAATTGGTACGAGTTAATCTCAAGCTTTTATCTCACTTACAAATGTGTGCTACAAATATATATATACATGTCTTTGCGCGTGTGCAGGTATTTAAGGGGGCGTTACAACGTTTGCGATAAAATGTAACGCCCCGAATTTATTTCGTGCGATCTATTGAACTTAGTTGCACAGTATTGCTCCAGCAGCTCGTGCAGCAGCAACAAAATATTTCGTGATTACCGTGACTTAAAATAATAAATATAACAGTAAAAGTGTTGATGCCGAAGAAAAGTGCGTGCTGAAGAATCATGTCGCTGAACAGGATAACATTATCCTGCCGCGTCTTAGTGCTTCTAATCATATTTATAATATATTTAGAGGATCCCGTTGATGGATTTGTTAACTCGTAAGTGTTAAATGAAGAAATAAATATGTGTTATACGCCCCCTTAAAGTACTAAGTGCGTTAATGAGCTTTCTTCGCTACCAGACCGAAAATTATAACCAAAGATGGCAATCTAATTGTGGAGTCTGGACTCAATCGCAATATCACCTTTCGTCTTGATGGCAACTCACGCATTAATATCAACGATGAATATGATTTGTTGGATCTGCTTTTGGTAAGTGGCAGTTACAATGGCTCCTCGTCAAAACGTAAGGATGTCATCGAAGCGGATAACTTGCTACAACTCTCCAATGAGTATAATACATTGCGTAGCTATGTGTTCGGCACAAATGGTTTAAATAGACGTTTGAATACGATGTTGAATAGGTAAGCGGTGATCGGTGGACGCATAACTGTTTTTAGTAAACTCCTTCTTATTTTGGCGCCGCTCTTAGGACACGCATGAATAATCGATCGCTACAACGCTTCCAAACTCGTTTACAGAGCGTAGAACGGAGAGTACAAAGCCTGCAACAGCGGCTCGAAACGGATAATTGTAAGAGTAATCCCTGCGATAATGGAGGAACTTGTATAAATATGTTTGGAAGCTTTCTTTGTCAGTGCACGAAAAACTTTGAGGTAAGTAAAGTTGAGAGACTTGCTTTAGATGCTTTAAAAGTATAGATGTAAACTTTAAGGTTTCAAAAATAATATCTCAGTTCACGTTTTCTCAGACATCCATTTAATAACCCTATACATTTGCATCAGTTAAAACTTGCAACAGAAAGAGTAAGAGAGGTAAAGTAAGAGAGAGAGAGGGAGAGAGATGTATTAAGAGAAAAAGGAAAATTGTGAGAGTAATAGGCAGAATAGGAGATAATCATAGAGGGAGAGAAACATAGTATTTTCAAAAGGTTATAAATAGGAAAAAACTGGTTACACCTGAGGGTAAGTATATATTAAGACAGAAAATCGTTAGTCTCAGTAATTTGATCATTGTCGGTTTGTTTAAACAATTTTGAGAACACATTTTGCCACTAATCTTTTCTTATGGTCCAGAGTAAGAGCTTGATTTCTTGGTTCATAAAAAAATAAATTCTGCTAAGTCAAAACAAGCTTACTGGGAAGTCAACGTTACCACGAGTAAGTATTATTTATTTAGAAATCCAGAAGTGCGGCAAAGTATGATCGTTCTGTGTTCCGGTTTCACTGTAAAAAATACGATTTGGGGCGGAGATAAATTGTGTAAAGTGAGAATGACAATGTCATATATCGTCGAACTAGCAGCTTCGAAGGTTTTCTGTAAACTTAACTATATCGTTCGTTAACTGGTACACCAATTTGTATATAATAGAGCCCAAATACCAGATAAATCG